AAAGAAAGAAAGAAAGAAAGAAAGAAAGAAAGAAAGAAAGAAAGAAAAAGAAAGAAAGGAGGGAAGGAGGGATGGAGGAAGGAAGGAAAAGGGGTTGGAGAAAATAATAGAAAACATTGTAGAACATCTTTGTATCAGGAAACTTATATATATTCCTGGGTAAACTAGGTCATGATAAAAACTTACTTCTTATTACAGGCTGCAGTTAAAATTTTGAAAAACGCTGTCCTGGGAAGACCCCTTGGTGTGCTTTCATTGCTACAGCTTTTTACATTTATTCATTCTATTTTCACCATCTGGAACATAAATAAGGAGACTCATCCCTGATCCTTTTTGTCTTAACATGAGTTAGGAAATATAAATGAATTAATCTTTCTGGACTCAATGTGTGTTTTAAACTCCTGACCTCGTGATCCACCCACCTCAGCCTCCCAATAATGTGCTTTTTTTTTTAAATAAAATAATTTAAAAAAACCCCAAAAAACAAGGGAACAAACTGAGAAGATGGGCTGGCCCCTTCTGTCTAACTCTGTGCCCGTGTCTCTCAGAATGTTCTCTGAGTGTTTACTGAAGAGAGGCTTCCCTTCAGTCCTACCATGCCCATAACCATAAAATAGTTGAGGGGGAAAAAAGGGCCCTAAAAAGAGAAAAACAAACAGTTAGATGGGAGTGTTCCAGAGAGAGCTCAAAGGGCACATTTTTACCTGCAGAACAGCCTTTAAACAGCTCAAAAAACCCTGTCCATGGAAACAGAGTCTCTGGAAGCCTCACAGGGGCAATGTGATCCACTCAAGCTCTGACACCATTGCAAGGGCTTCAGAGAGCATCAGTCAGCCTCAGGGACAGTGGCCAGGCTGCAGAAAAGGGAAGCCTAGAGATGAGGCTGGGCTGCAGTTCTGTAGCCTGACCACAGCCACAACTGCCTAGGCCATCCCCAGGTATCTGGAGCCTGGCAGAGAGGTCCGGAGACCAGACCCTGCCTTTCTTTGTAGTCTCCGGAATGAAATGCACAGGAATGAAATAAATAAAATGAAATCCTCAGCCTAGCAACTCTGGAATCTTTCCATCAAAGTCAGATGCACCTGGAAGGGCTCTCTTGTTTCTATACAGGTTGTTGAGTCTATAGCACTATAGCGGGGTATCTAGCACACCGTCACACTTGATAATATTAACAAAGCAAGTGCTTAGTAGATATTCCCTGATGTAACTTGGCAGAGATGAGTGCTGCCCAAAAACAATCTGTACATTCCAATAAAGACCACTACCCATCCCGGGGGTAAGTGAGAATATGAGAAATGTTAACTTCAGGGAAAAGAAAAATTAATGTTTTCTGCAGTGGTTCTGGTACACGGTTTATAGAGAAGTCAAGATAGAGGAGTTCACCATTATTAGCTCTGTAGTGCAGGAATGGTGCTTGTCATCGAGGCATCTAGAGAAAATGGTGTGAGACAGCAACCCAGCAACCTCCCCTTCTGGTTGTACACCTGGCTAGGGAGAAGCAGGGTCCAGAGACAATTAGGGATTACAACAGAGCACAGGAGAAATGAATTTCATATGATCTTGCTTTTCTACTTTCACAAAACAACCTTCTTTCTAAGAATAAAGCAGTTAAAAAAATCTATCTTTGTTCAATGTAAATACACCATGGTTCATTATCAGGTGCCAAACCATGCAATTCAGACAATGCCTGCTACAAAGACCAGAGAATTGACATCTCCTTTCAGCCGGGAGGTGTTGGTAAAGCCTGATGGAATAGGCAGGACCTGAAACAGGAGAGGATCTGGAGAAGTGGATGAGAGAAAACAGTTCAGGAATTGGAGGAAGATGGGAAGAACATGGTTAGGGACAAGGTGATGGGGCTGATAACAGCATGTGCTGGGGACTGTGATGACATCTATAATCTTGCCAGTTTGCCAGACACAGAACCTCTGAGTTCTCCAACTCTGTGAAAAGTGCATGGAACTTTTTTTTTCTTTCTTTTTTTTTTTTTTTTTTGAGAAAAAAAAGATGGAATAGTGGGATATACAGCATGGAATAGTGGGATGTGCAGAGAGAAGACCTGGGTCCAATATCTCTGACACTCCTCAACTGTAAAAACCTTGACAACTCTGCACATCAATGGAGACAGTATTTTCTACCTTGCCTGTCTGAAAAGGCTGTGATGAAGATCAAGTAAGCTATTCCAAAGAATTCTTTTTATACTATAAAGCAGTTTACACATGTGAATTACAAGTACCTCTCCTCCAACAAAGAGCTGTGAAAAGACTAACAGCCAATTACTATGGAATACTTAGTATGCATCTTGCACCATCTTTTGATAAGGTTTATTTGCAAGATGTCAGGCCAATCAAGCACCACAAAAGTGACTTCTGAGTGCTCAACATCTTCCAGAGGCTCATAGGACTTCCAGAGACTGTCCCAAGGTATTGGCAGTTGGAAATTTCCTCTTACGCTTTTCTTCCCATGAGAATCACCGCTAGCTTTCCCATGATTCTTTGGGCAAGGAGATTCTTTCTATTACTTCATTACAGGTAGAGAATCCATCCATTAGACTGGCAGGACCTCTAAAGGAGCACTTCATCTGTTTCTCAGAATAAATGGTCCATTCCCAAATTCAATCAAACGATGTACCTGTCTTCTGCCTTTTGTTTGAGTCTTCTCAGAAAGTTTCCATGATACCTCCATAATGAACTATTTCTGTGCTTAACAAACTTCCCTGTTGGAAGGTTCTTCCTTCTGTTTAATCTCAGTCTTTTTCTTTTAACCGTATTATTGAGTTGTGAGGGGCTGGTTAGGATGCAGTCCAGCATAGCTGTTTCAGAAATGGTTCAGAGACCATTACACCAGCAGACTTGCTGGGCTCTAGCTCTAGTCTTTCACTGATTAGCTGAGTCATGTTGGGCAAATCACTTAATCTTTCTAAGCCTCAATTTCCCACCCTTTCACCTGGTCCCTCTGAGCCATGTTTCCTCCTCTGTAAGAGGGGAATAGCGATATCTTCTCTGGCTAATCATCAACTGCTGGATGATTTTGTGGGCATTTCTATTCCAGAAGATTATGTTGTAATTACTACCTATTTATACATTCTCTCACTGCACAGTGAGTTCTAAGAAGGAGGGAACCCCATCTTTTTCACCTCTCCTCTGGCACCTAGAGCGGTGCCTAGCACATAGTCAAGGGAAGCAGGGAGTAACTTTTAGCCAAAATTTTCTGTGGTGTATTTTCTGCAGCCATCCACAATTCCACGTCACGGTATGTATTCTTTATCTCTCCCCTTCAGGCCGATGCCACGGCGGGGAAGGGGGAACTGGGGACTAGGGACCAGGGAAGCTAAGACTCAGCCCCCTTGGGTGAAATTCGAGACAGGCCGGGAACCTGGTCAGCCGCGGTCGCTGCTAAGGTGACATCGGTGGGAGCGATGATGCAACTCCAGTTTCCACTTCGGCCCCCCGGGCTCTTTTACCCTCATCTGCGGGGTCAGGCTGAGCTTCCTGGCTTTCTGCAGCAGTAAGTAACACGATGGCGAGCGGCGCCCGAGATTTCCCACCCGTGCGGAGCGAGTGCCCGTCGGCAGGCGCCCCCCAGCGTCCCGCGAGCGACGAAGTACTGGCCGGGTCAGCCCAGGTGGGGGTGACGCACCTGGCCCAGACGTCCGCAGCAGGCTGGGTAGCACCACGGCAGGAAGGGTGGGGGGGCTGCATCCCCGATTAACGCAGGCTGAAGCGGGGATCTGCACCTGTGTATTCACCGACAGCTCTGTCCCACAGAGGGCAGAAGCGAGCCTTGCCCTGTGGACGACGGTCGATGAAAGTTTCACGAGGCAGAGTCTCTAAGGCGACAGCGGGGTGGATGATTCCAAGTCAAGATGGTTGCAGGGCAGACCGAACTCCAGGCAAGAGAGGACTGGACCTGTGGGCGGGGCAGAGGGCTGGGGCGGGGCCGGGGCGGGGCCTGCTCGAGGGGCGGGGCCAGGTGCTGGGCTGTCTGTGCTTGTCAAAAGGCGGCTGCCGAGCCGTGGGCGCCGGGAGCGCGGAACGGCTTGTCCACCCGCCGGCGGGACCAGGTGCGGACCGGGGAGCAGCACGGAAGGGGGTCTCAGGATAGGGACTCGAGTTCGGGGCGTCAGGGGTACAGGGGCCTGAGTGCCCGGGTGCGAGCATTAGAGTCCAAGTCTCAGCGGTAAACTTGGCGACTGAGATCCTGGCTGTTGTGCCATGAGGCTGGGACACTAAGGGGGCACTGAGGTTTGAGAAAGCCGAAGTTCGTGCCAGGCTGGGGAGGAGAGCGGCGACATCCTCAGTGCTTAGGCAGCTTAAAGGAGAAATGCTCCGCTAGCACCGGGCTCAGCACTTGGGCAACAAGAAGCATTTGTTTCCTTCCTCTGTTGGGGCGCCTTGGCATGGAGTGGAGGAACAAGAAAAGGAGTGATTGGCTGTCGATGGTGCTCAGGGCTGCGGGAGTGGAGGGTGTGTAGCCTTATTTATCTTACCGGGCCCAGGTATGGTCACCTGCGATGGTGGAGTTGGGTCTTTTAAGTAATTTTTTTCTTGATTTTTCTTTGAACTACCAATGATTTTAGACCTAAATGGCCCTGTTTTTCCAGAACAGCCTGTCAATAGATGTTCAGAAGAACTCAGGGGCAAGCACTTAAATGAGGAAGGGGCTCAAGGAGTGGTTTCTGTTTGGGACGCGAGGTGCCCTGTTTCTGTAGGCGGTGGGGAAGATTCAGAAGCATCTAGGCAGGAACAGCCTGTGGTCTCCAGGGCCAGTGGACAAGTGCCCCTCCTTCTCTTCACCCAGGGACCAGAGTCAGAGGCCCAGCCTGGGCTAGGGGAGCCTTGGGTCCCCTAGCCCAGGCCCTTCTCTCAGCTCCTCCTCCTTCTCCTGTTCCTCCTCCTCCTCCACTATGCCTGTGGTGAGTGAGTCAGCCTCCTGTCTGGGTTCAGTTGCAGCCAAAGGGGCCAGAGCCCAGGCAAGCAATTGGGCAGGCATTTTCTGAGCATTGCAGAAGCTCTCCTGGGCAGAGTTTGGCTCTGCTCCAGCTCCCTGCTGGAAGGTGGTCTTCCTCATGGCAAGGGCTCAGACCCCAAGACAGCAGTGATTATGGAATGGCAATGGGATGATTCCAGCAGGAGGTGACTGTGAAGGGATAGTGGCTTTGTGACAAATCCACATCTCATCTTTCTCCTAGGATCTCAGCATGGCAGGCTTTTCCATCCTTTCATTCCATTTCTGCCTAGTGGTCTTGTTAGCAGCCCATCTCTGCTAGTGAAGTGGGTGAGCAGAAGAAATTGGGAAAGTCTGGGACCAGAGAAGCCATGGTGTTGGCAAAGAAGGTTTTAACCCAGGCTAGGGAGTGGGCTGGTTTGCTGAGGTAGAGATGGGTTATCTGAACACTGGAGCCTCAATTCTGTGAACTGAGAGTGTTGTGTGTTGAGAGGCCTTCTGTCATCCTTTCACTGTCCAAGTGCTGGAGGGAACTGTGGGTCTTTCTGAAACAGTTTCAGGGCTGGCATGCAGCCAGACCAGGAGGTGGTAAGACTGTGCATTTCTCCCTGGCTTTTGTTTTGGGTGCTAGAGATCCTTAAGCAGAAGTCGCCCTCCCTGCAGAGTCCATGGCCCCCACTCACTAACATCTCTGGACCTATTTGAGAAGAGTCCTGCGAGGCCAACCAGGCTGTGGGGTTGACTCAAACTGCAAAAAGCTGGGGAATTCACAGTCTGTGCTCTGGCTGGCTCCCATGGCTTTGGGTTTGGCTGGTCCTGATCAGCTGTGACTTGGACCCTTACCAAGCTAAAGAAGGAACTAGAAAATTGGGATAAGAAAGGAGGGGAAAAAATGATAGTTAGAAAGCTTCCCCAACCCTTTGCTCCTCTTCAGCAGAGGCCAAAAGACTTTGTTTGTATAAACATTATTATGGAAGGTCGGGTACTGTTTGGGTTGCCCTGATAATTTGTGTTTATAGTTTCTCAGTCTTCTCCTATTTGACCTCGGACCTGATCTCTTTTGTAACTAAGTCCCAGTGGAGGCTCCAAGAAGACCTTCTGGACCCCTATACTCTACCCCTAGAACAGATAGCAGGTGTCCAAAGCCCAGGCTGTCAATGGAGAAAGGCCTGGGGCCAAGTGGGCTACATCAGGTGGTTACTACACCAGGTGGTTATCTAAGACAGGAAAGGGGGTTTCCATTGTTTCATTCTGTCCTGGGTGGAATGGGCATCTGGAACCTCTGCTAGAAACTCACTGTTGCCTGTGCAGCAGTCAGATCCTAGAAGCCAGAGAGCCAGAGACAGGAGGACCACCTGGATGACGTGTGGTGTGTTGCTGAATAAGGAATTACAGGGCTCCAGCTTCCATGTGTCCCTGATGCAGTTCTGTTTTGGATGCAGGCAGAGGGAAGTAAAGAATTGACCGGATTTGATTAGGAGTTGCTTGTGCACCCAGCATGACTCCAGGCCCTCTGAGGGATGGCAGGAAGCAGAACTCACCAGACCAGCCCCTGACTCCAAGATGATTTGAGCCCCAGGGTGGGCAGCAGTTCTCAGGCTCTCCCTCCACTGTTGTCCAGTTCTGAGAGGATCCAACTGGGCTAAAGCCAGCCTGGCTGTCACTCTAGGCCACCAAGCCTCGCTTCTTGTTCTGCTTCTCTCTGATTTGTCCCTAACCTTTTCCTGTGTCAGTGCTCTCCTGGATATGTGAGAAAGAGTCCCTGTGTAATGTATCTTGCAAACTGGGATACTTTCAAGAGTGAAAAGGGATGCCATGCATGGTTATACCAGGACAATGGACATAAGCCCAAACTGTCCAGGGAAAAATGGAACGTTCATCATCCTAGTGATTATCACTCCAAACCCAGCAGAGGTCATCGCAGTGATGAGGGGACGATGAGGTTGGGGGAGGCTTAATGCTCAAAGTAAAATAGGGGTAGCTTAATTCTGAGGATAGCCCCAATGCCCCAGCTTGCTCCCTGGTGTTACCAGCTAATTCCCGTCTTTTCCCCGAAGGCAGCAATGCTCCCACCCACCCTGTCCTGGGACCCAGCCCACCACTTGTGTGACTTCCCTTCACCCTTGACTTGTGACTGGCCTCACCTTTGGTTTTCCTGCCCCGCCCCTACCTCCGACAGGGACAGGAAGGTCTGCCAACTCCTCTTCAGCTTCCTCCAGGGGAATTGGGGTTCATAGTGGAGCCAAGACAGGGCCTCACATTTCCTCTTCCCTCTTCCTCCATATCTGCAGCCTCCTCATTTTGCCCATCCAGCTTACCAGACCCCTGGGGAACACACTACCCCACAGAAAGTCTGGCTGTAAAGCAGGCTAGCAGCCAGGAAGGCAAAGGTAGGCAAAACTTGCCCACTCCGATAAAGGACATAGGTCACCTGTAACCAGGTTCCGGGGAAACGATAAGCAAAGTGGAGGCCAAAGCCAGGGAGAAGCTGCATAGCAAGAGACAGAGTCAGTTCCCAAGGACTCTAGAGTTTAACTCTTTGGTCTGGTCTGACTATTAGGGAAATAGTCCAGGGTGGGGACAGGCTGTTCTTGCTCAATCCAAGTGACAGGCATTGATGGCAGGGTCTGCATCCTACTGTGGTGACATGTGGAAGAGAAACTGTCTTGTCTTCTGTGTCCTGGGTCCTTATGGTCCAGATGCAGAGGGCGGGCTCCCTGGAGAGTCCCCAGAGGTCCAGCATGTGGGTGATTGGTCATAGGCGTGGAGGGAGCAGGGCAGCCACGATGACTGTGTGTGACTCTCGGTTATTCTGCCAGGAAGGAAGTCATTCTCATTGCCAACAAATGAAAAGGGCAAGTGAAGATATCTTGGGAAGTCATGTCTTTGAAGTGACTTGTGGGGAAAGGATGTGGCGAGGCCCCCTCCACACCAAGGCTGGCTGGAGGAGGTTGGGGGTGTCTGGTCGGTGAATGGCTGGAGCGTAAGGCAGAAGCCGACGGTGCTGTGAGTCGGAATGTGTGTCACGCTTTTGCAAACCTGCCCTGCAGGTCCTGTGCCAAGGAATAGACTAAGTAGTGTTCCCAGAACCAGATGCCATACAAAGTCCTCATTCTGCACAGGGGAGAGTCCTGGTCCTGAGCAGGGTGTGGGCAGCTGCACCCGCAGGAAAGTGGAGTCTGGGCAGACTCAGAGGTTGGTTCCTGAGAAGGTGCTGCGTCTCACTTGCCTTCTAATGACGACCTGAAGCTTGGAGGTGTTATGCAAGGTGGGACATTTCAGGCACTGTGGAGTACCCATGATGCCCAAGGCTTTGCTGGTGACACATCCGGTGTGTGCCACCTGCTGGCACTGGTGTTGTAGCTTCAGCTACTTACTGAGCACTTACTTGGTAACAGGGGCTGTGCTGCGTGCCTCCCAGACCTATGACTAGGTCTTGTGAGACAGGAACCAGTTATGTTCCCTTTACAAATGAGGAAACGGAGTCTCTGTGAGGGTAATCAACATGCCAAGCTGTCATAGCCTGTGAGGAGGAGAGCCAGGACTCCCTCTTAGGTTTGCAGAAGCCCGTGCTTTTAACCTGCCTGGAACTCTCCAGGGCACTTAGTGCCCTGCCTTGCACATTATAGGCCTGTAGTAAATGTTTGTGAGCAGCAAGGTTAGATGTACTAACTAGTTTGAACAAGTTGACCTGAGAGCAGGCTTGGACTGCCCAAAGGTTACTCTGGGAACAGTGGCCTCTCAGAAGGAGGCTTCCTCTGCCAGCACTTTAGATCTTGTTGCCTCTCTGGTAGTCTCAGGCACCTTCTCAGGTTAATAACCACAAACAAGAACCCAAGAGAGGTAGGATTGAGCAGAGAAATTGTGTGGAATCAAATACAACTCTCATAGTCTGAAAGGCAAATAAGAGGCACTCTTTCAAACAAGCCTCTTTATTGAATACCTACCGTGCGCTAATTGTCCCATTGGCCAATGGGGGGCTATTCTCACCCTGCCTGCCTTTTCCGCCTCCTGGCTATCCCTTAAGGACTCCTGAACCTGGCCCAGCTGGAAGGAGAAATGGACTCTAGCCTCCTCTGATAGCCTTGTGCCAGGCCCCGTGCCGACTGCTTTACTTGTCTCCTTTCATCCTCATAGCTTCTCTCAGGGGTAGATACAGTTATTCTCTCTAGCAGGCATAGTGGAGAAACCAAGGTTTAAAGAGATGCAGTCCCCTGCCCATGGCTGCAGAGTCAGCCTGTAACCGCTGCTATACGCTGCTTGCCGACACTGGGCCTGGCCATAGAAACCACTCTGTCAGAGCCTGGAGACAGGTGGAAGGAAGAGAAAATGCTCAGCCTGGCCCACGCCCTGTGGGTCCCAGGGTTCCCTGGTAGATGACTAAAATTTTAGATAGTGCTGTTAGAAGCTAGCAGCCTGGCAAAATAGGAGAAACACAGGGCCTGAGTTAGATTCTTGGGTTCAAAGCTTGGCATGATCACTTTGTAGCTTGTGACCTTGGGCAAGTTTCTTAATCTCC